CCAAGATCTTCCCAAAATTTCTCCTTCGAACTCGTATCCAACCCTACTTGAGGTGCGTACGCACTAATCACATTGATAAGTTCTTGTCCTATTACAATCTTGATTGCCATGATTCTATCTCCTACCCTCTTGACATCTACAACATCTTGTACCAAGGTCTTGTCCACGATGATGCCAACACCGTTTCTCGTTCTATTTGTGCCCGAATACCAAAGTTTAAACCCTGAGTTTTCTAGATCCTTTGCCTTACTACCAACCCACTTAGTTTCTTGTAGGCACATAATATTTATCCTTCTCCTCACCATAACTTCCACTACTTCCATAGATTTTCCCGTTAAGGTTCCTATATTCCACGTTCCTAAACGCATTTTGCTCTCTTGAACTCTACCCTTCTGTCCTAGCTTCTTCACCCTCCCCCGTCTAATAGGATCAAAGTACTTCTTTTGTGTGTCCCGGGTAAAGTTGATAGGAGCATATGCTCCCAAACAACTTTGAGTGGAGTCGTTCGAAAAGAAGTTTCTATGGCCCCCTTGCTCATTTAACACTGCATCCGGGTGCCGATGGAGATACAGCGACCCTTGCTCACTTATCACTGTGCTCAGGCCACACAGCGCGCCACTTACGGGTGACGCCCTAGCTTTAGCGCGATTTTGTTCTGGATTCATTTTCATAAGGATTCGACGTGATCATGGAGTGCCGGCTGTCGACTACCTGACGCCCTCCCCCTCCTCCTTTATCCGGGCTTGGGACCGGCCATGTAGGACATAGGCGGAGTTGAAGCTGAATGTTTACCAAACATAAAAAATTCCCAGCTTTTTTATAGGTATTATTTTTCAGAATCACCTCAGTACAAAATCAAGGCTAAACACAGCGTAAAAGAAGCCGGTGGTGCAACCTCAACTAACTAGCCCATCAAGCAAACATATCTTAAAGAATGATAAAAATCTCTTGACAATGTAAGCCCAGGCCCACATCTCAAGAACAAATCCGAAATACCAAAACCCTACCCGCCTCACCAAACCTCCTATAAATTCAAGATAACAGAGCCACACACACACTCTCATCTTGAGAAACCAACACCCAAACCCTAGAGACGCAGAGGCCTCTGAAAAATGCCGGCTGGACACGGTCTCCGTTCCCGGACTCGCGATCTGTTCTCGAGGGCCTTCAGGAAGAAGGGGTACATCCCACTCTCCACCTACCTCAAGACCTACAGGATCGGCGACCATGTCGACGTCAAGGTTAACGGCGCCGTCCACAAGGGTATGCCCCACAAGTTCTACCACGGCCGTACCGGTCGCGTCTGGAACGTTACCAAGCGCGCCATCGGTGTCGAGATCAACAAGCAGGTTAATTTCATTTTTGTTTTCTTGTATTGTTTTGGATTTTGGGTTGCCTGGAAGGTGTTTGATATATGCTTGTGTGAAAATCTATGGATTCATTGGTTCTTGTTGAAATTTCGTTTCTTTTAGATTGATTTGGACTTCGCTGACTTAAATGGCATGGCATGAGGGTAATTATTATTGTGCTGTTGCTGGTGTTTTTTGCCGTTAATGGAAATGGTTGATTAGATTTAAACGTTGCTATATACTTTTAGGGTTTCATATAATGTTAGCTTATGGATGCTAGTTCTACTGTTGATGTGGATTTATAATGTCACCTATCGGTGACGAAAGTGTTTTAGGTTAATTGGTATATGATACATTTTGGCCATTGATATAAGCCTGTTGTGTGTGCCCTATAACGTGTTTAATATATATTCCATACGGTGTATGCTCGAGGCTATAGGATGAATGTTACGAGAGTGGAGAATGTAAGTTAATCTTTCATGTTGATCCGTTTGGAATTCCGGTTTTGAGCATTGCAGATTGATTATCGTTGGAAGCATAGTGTTTTGTTGTTTTGTATGTAGGGGAATTCTGTCCTGCTTTGGTCACACTGTGCAGTGAGTGTTGTATACTTTATTTTTTTAACTTGATCACCAAAAAATTTAAACAGTATGCTTCTACATGATATCAGGTTGGAAACAGAATCATCAGGAAGAGGATCCATGTGCGTGTGGAGCATGTGCAGCCATCAAGGTGCACCGAAGAATTCCGTTTGAGGAAGATTAAGAATGACCAGCTGAAGGCCGAGGCTAAAGCAAAGGGTGAGGTCATTAGCACCAAGAGGCAGCCGAAGGGACCGAAGCCTGGTTTCAGGGTGGAAGGTGCCGTCATGGAAACTGTTACTCCCATTCCTTATGATGTCGTCAACGATCTTAAAGGAGGTTACTAGGTTTAATTTCCGTTTGCTTTGGTTAATTCTGATGGACTGGCCGCTTAATGAAATGTTTCCGTAGTTTCTTTTGACAAATTTTTGATCGACTTTCATGTGCTGCGGTAGAGACTGCTCGGATTTATGTCTTATGATATATGTTATGTTTTCAAGTACAATTTTGTGCGAATGTGGAAGTTATCATCGGAGTTACCTACAATCTATAGGGTTGTGCTTAAAACTTTTCCTGATTATTCCATCCTCTGCTTTTGATTAACTTGGTCTGCAGGTTCAACCTTGCTGTTTTTTATAGAACTGAACTAGCACAATTTTGCTAGAATCTAAGATTCAATTTGGTTAGATCGAATATGCCCCGTTTCTTTATGCCTACATTTCGATCGCTTGCTCTCTAATACGCAAATTTGTAGTGAATTGACAGTACATGACGCAAATTTGTAACATGAAATAATGAGGTAAAAGGATTTTTAGCCAAATGGTCTTTGAGATTGGTTTAAATGGTCATTTTTGTGCTACCATTGAAGTGGTTCCCGAGTTCGTTCACTGTTAATCATTTTGGCCCTTCTTGAAAAATTTGTCAAAATCCTGAACTCTCCCTCTCTGCCTCTTCTGAACTCCTGAAGCATAGCTGGAGAGGAGAAAAGTGGTCGAGAGAATTGGAATTCGGAAACCAAGCTATTTTTTATCTGATTTTTTGAAAACCATTTTCGAACTGGATTTGAGAAACGATTTCCTATTGGGACACCAACTATATCTATCTATCTGTATATACGTATGCAAAGGCATTACCGCCTTTAGTCTTGCTTCATGCTTTCTTAAGTCTTCCCCTACCCGTTACTGTCGCCGTCAGTTTCATCTTGTGGTGGTTTTCTTTGGTGCTTGTTCCACTACTGTTTATACGGATGGCGGCGATTTAGAAGGGTAGATTTCTAATGGCACAGTTGATTACAACGAGTGGATTTCATCAAAAGAATTTCATGTCGGCGACGAATTCATATTTAATTACAAACAGGAAGAAGATTTTGGGATGCTAGTTATTCAAGAAGATTATGACAATTGCAGCCTGTCACTTGCCTTATCCCATTACGGTGCCTTTACCGCCCTAACTTTTAATATACCAGGCACATACTATGTTATTTGCGGTGAAGCTCACCACTGTCAAGTTTGCCAAAAGATTAGAATCAAGATCAATGCCCCCGAAATAGAAAACTCAGTCGCCAGTCCAAGCCCCTCTCCTTCTCCATCCTCGACATCAGGTTCTTCCAAAGCAATTGTCACCGAGCTAAAATCACTAGACCGCTCGAGTATTTGATCTTTTGGATGCTTGGCTTGAATGTTGCCATCTTTTTGTATCTACTGCATTTAAATGAGTTTTAACGAAACACTCCCGTCACTGTTCATTTTTAACGAAAATAACATTTTCTCTAAAAAGTCACTCCTGGTACTATTCACTTACACCACCTTTTTGTCCTTTTGATTAAAACTCAAAGTTTTCAAGTTCTTTTCATTAGATTTCCTTTAAATAAATCCATATTGCAGACCGAAAAAAGTTCATAAGTCGTTTAAATGTATTCTTTTTTATTTTATTCGGATCGATTATAAATGAATTTGTGCTATGTTACATTAGTTCTAGCTTATTTATTTTGTTAAAACCTCCTTCCCTCTCAGAAAAATCAATCATACGAAGCTCCAAGATGAGACACAGAGAACAACAAAGTTAAAATGAATGAAACATTTATCTTAGCCAAATAAATTCGACCTGAATAATTGCATGCAGGAATGCTCCAAAGAGCCATCTGATGTGGGAGTTTCTGCACTTGCTATTGTCAGGATCATCAAGCACAAAGTTCAGTAAGTAACGTTGCCGTTATTAGCCGGAAGATTTCCGTTCGGCTTAATGTTTATGTTGCTCACTAAACGGGCGGTTTGGGACAGCTCAGACATAAGAACCCAAATTCGTAAAGCTTTTGACCTCTCTATGCTTTTCAACTTGCCCCGTTTATGTCTCTCAACTTCGAATTCGTAAAGCTTTCAGTTGACCTCTCTAAGCTACTCAACTCGCACCGTTTATCTCTCAACTTCTTTAACATTTTCCGCTTCCCATTTCCTAGACAAAGTTCACTTTTAGGCTGCTCGACGACTGAGGAAGACGACTTGAACTACGTCGTCCCCTTCTGTGTGGACGGTAAAAAAAAAAAAAATGTAATAGGAACCATGGACCCACCCCAAACCGACCCATTTGAAACAGGCCAGGTTAGATCCGATTCTAAAACTCAAGCTCTCTACCCGGTCCAGTCCGCCCCATTACATTTTAAAACAGATAAGGTTCAGTTCCTCCAAAAATTTGGGCCCGGGTAATTTCAACCGTATGGGAAGACAATAAAAGAAGGCAAAGCAAGCATACCATGGGCCAAGAAAACAAAGGAACGGGGCAGAGAAGGTGCAAGTGAGCAGTGGAGGAAATGAGAGAAGATAAAAACTGATATAATGTAGTGCCTCAGATTACACACCTGTTCCGAGTCCGGTTCAAGATGTAAGAAAATTAGAACTTCATATCGAAAACGTTTAGTCAAGGACAACACAAGAATACACGTTTAGTCTATCGCGGAAACAATGATTTAGTGATGCAGCATTCCCCTATATTCTTAAGTTCTCACCTATCCATGCTTAAGAACACAACACAAGAATACAAGTTTTCAAGCATGAAAATAAAACAGTCTACAACGTAAACGAAGAAAAGGGACTCAATGTTTATTGTGAAAAGAAAAACAGGTAAAGATTCTCAACAACCTACATGTGTAGCACAAGAAAAGCAAAAGGATGTGATAATTCGACAAAGGATCATTATATACAAGTGATCTTCACAAGAGCACCCCATTGTTAATTGTTAAATGCAATTATTGGCACGTAAATCTTTCATTTTATCAATCAGGCATACCAGAATGCAAAGTAATCTTTCGGTAATCAGGACGTGCGAGATAGATTGCCAAGCAGCCATTCTCAGTGCCCCAACTGGTCATAGCGCCAAGCAGCCATTATCAGTGCCCCAACTGGTCATAGCCTACCGATCATATAATGGCAGCAACTGCAAGCTGCACGTGGTTATTCGCTAGAACTTCAGTTTGTCCCGAACCCACACATGACTATGATACAACATAACACAGACCAGCTACCACTTCACAGCTAGAGCCAAGAAAGTGTGATACAAGATATATATAAATTCAGCAGCAAAGGTTATACAATTGAAAACAGGTTGGGACTAGATACAGTAGCCTTAAACCCTACGGGATTATGGAATTTCCATAGTCCCAAGGGACTGAGGTCGTTAATAAGGAATGGATCGCACAATGTTCAACAAAATGGATTGGAAATGCACCATATGAGCAATACAAAGGCACGTGAGAGGGGTTTCCAAATCCCTACAAGGAAAGAGTCATTTACAAATCTCTTTTACATGCCTTTGTAATGCTAATATGGTGCATTTCTAATCCCTCCTATTATCTAATATTTTGTAATTCATCCCTTACTAACTTGACATCAATCCCTTGGGAACTGAAAATCACTCATCCAAAACATAGCATAAAGAAATTAACCATAAACCTGTTTACCGTGTCTCATTAATGTGACTGCAAAGTTGAGCCCAACATACAAGGTTCCCTAGTTAGTATCCACACTTCAGATTGGGTATTCGCATCACGGTTACTCAATGACAGGTCCTACTCATGTGCATCATCAGGCTACAGGGAAACACCAGTTCAACTTCTACCATCACAGCAACTACAAACCCTTTCAGGTTCTTAAGGAACATGTCTGTCCAGCTCACATGCAGCATCAGCTACAGGTAAACACCCAGTTACAGCCATAACAACAACTAAAACCCCTTTAACCGACTATCAGGTCAAGCATAGAAATCCTAATTATATAACACTATCAGAAACAAATAGCCAAGCCATATTTCTTACCAACATATATCACGTATGGAGAAAATCAGCTTAACCTACTGGCCCTGCAACCAGCTCACTGCAAAAACAATCATACTTCTAAAACCAGCATCACAACCACGACGTCCATCTACAAACTAGAAACAGCATCAACGGCTGCGAATCAACATCCTCTTATCCTGGCCTCAATCACTCTTTTTCACAAACAACTATAAAACCCAAGAAATAGTTCCTGAAGAATCAGTCTTCCTATAAACTGAACTAGACAACTTAAGACCACAGACTCATATATCAGTAATAATGCTACAAAGAAGATAAAAGCGAATAGTAAACTGCACAAGAACAAAAATGAAGGGAAAGACACTACGAAACTTACAACAGACTATCCTATGTAAATAAAACCAATGTACAAACTACAAGCCCACAAGTTGCCAGATTATCCCAGCTAAATAAAGAAAATTCACAAGGTGCAGCATTTATATATTAGAGTACTAAATAAACCCGTCCTATTGAAACTAGCACTTAAAAACTCCAAAAGAAACAAGCATGATGATCAGGGGTCCCCGACATTAGCAGGGCTGCAACAAGTACACAACACGGGGTGCTTCCATGGTAGTTTCCATACAACAATATCAATCCTGTAAAATAAGGTCAAAAGTTACCATATCAATACTCTTCTCCCATGCAAGTGAAAGTAATAATTTCAGAAGCAATCAAAACTATAGACATCAACTCACATCAACATCTGAATTTCGAGGGGATGGGCTTTGAGAATCAGCAGGACGATGGCGTAGTGAAGCACTTCGAGAGGTTGGGGATTGTCCATCACAACTACGTCTATCAGGGCTGGCACTGCGGCTCCTGCTTAGTGGGGAAGGGCTCTTACGAGGACTAGGGCTACGCCTAGCAGGGGAGGCACTGCAATGCAGATTAGTATACGTTAAAGATAATCAAAAGGAAGAAATAGCATACAACTATAAATTCAACATAAAAAGGATATTAGCTTGGATTAAAACCTATCAATAGAACGACTTCGATGTGGACTCCGATACGGACTCAGACTCCGCCTTTCATCATCATAGCGCCCCCTTCCCCTGCCCCTGTAGTAATCAGGACTGGCACTGCGGCTCCTGCTTCGTCGGCGATAGTCTCTATCCCTCCCATGGTATCTGTCACGGTCATACCTGTCCCAACTCCTACTGCGACTTCTCCTGTAGCCACGGTCTCTGAAGTCATCTCGGTACCTGGAAGATTTTAAATAGTAAGTTTCAGGCATTCATTTGAATATCATCAAAAGTTTGTAAAGAAAACTGGAATAATTATCAAAATCTTGGCATGGTGTAGCAAATTGAGTTCAGGATCCTTGAAATCATATGACAGAAAACTATCCATCAAAAAGAAAGACCAAGAGGAGAACTAACCTTCTCCGAGGACTGCGACTTCTTGACCTGTGCCTTGATTTTGGTAGAGCTTCAGAAATCCTTCCTTTATGACTGAAATAAAGGCAAAAGCAAAAAGAAAGTTAATGGAAGCCACAAAATACAAAATTAGATTTTCAATATTCAATTCCATTATCAATGCAGCTGAAATACCAAGTTAATAACACACTACGCAAATTTGCCCCCTTCAGTTTTGGCTCAAAGGCATTTCAGGCATAAAACCAAAGCTATGGTTTTGTGAGATCCTTGCATGATTCCCCAACGAAACCGTTTGAGACTAATAAACAAGCTTTGGTTACACAACCAAAACCCCTTCTAACCAAAACAAGGGTTTTCAGTTTAGTATTCAGTGTTGTACAATAAAAAGAGATTGACCTGCTGCATATAGAATTGATACCATATACCATAGTATAGAATTGAAAAAAGATACTGCAATCTGTTGACAAGCACCGATACCAAAAAAGACAGGTAAAATAACATCAACAGGGTCGCATTAGTATCAATACATTTCCAGGTATAGAATACACCAATTGAACAAAACAGACAATAGATCAACCTCAATAAGGATTTAATATTTAAGAGTAACATATGCAGTAGTTAAGAATAATTTTCAAACAAATAGTATTAAAAGCATATGGGAAGGCCTAATACAAGTTCATAGTTCCCTCGAGGTAAATAAAGTACCAAAAAAAAAAAATTCAGCCACCAAGAATCCACAATAAGAAACATCAATAACTGACAAACTTACATCCTCTCTGCATTTGGCCCATATTTTGCAAACTGAACAGTTATCTCGCGGCCATCAACAACTCTTCCTGCATAAGTATTTAGAATTGTCAAGACACTTGATAAGCAGTGACAATTAAAAAAGGTAGCAAAAACACATAAATATTAACAGCAATAGTAATGATAATAATCAGAAAATTTGCATACCATCAAGCCTTTCAACTGCTTTCTGAGCCTCATCTGCATATTTGTATCGTACAAAAGCAAAGCCCCTCGACTCCCCAGTCCTAAACCACAGGAGGGAAATAAACATCTAAAATTCAGAAACAATTTGTGTTAACCATATACAACAACAAAATTAAGGGGGAAAGGACATAAATTCAAATGTGCACTTCCTACAATTAACTAGGCCTCCACTTCAAGAGAAGCTAATTGCTCCCCCGAACACTGTAAACAGGTGATCATAAGCGTCGAATTCCCATATCTTCTCAGCAATCATAAAAATAAGAAAAACAATTAATGTTTAGATACAATCACAAACAAAACCTTCATAACTTATCGTAACACCGATTTTCTCAAATGGTTTTCCTAACATACATATCGTTTTCAAACAAATCAAAGATACTTAATTTCTCAGGAACCAAACAGAATTAATGGAGCATTAAAAAAAAAAAAACATCTTTATCGAAACGAACCTTCGGTCCCTGGGGACGAAGACGTCAACAACCTTGCCGTACTTATCGAAAAGTGGAAACAGATCATCAGCACTCGTACCTGTTCATAGCAACAAATCAATCAATCAACAAATTACCAGCACTAAAGCCTGCCAAAAACAAATTAGAGAGAGAGAGAGAGAGAGAGAGCGAGCGAGCTTACGGAAGGTGATGTTGAGGACGAGGAGAGAGTAGGTGTCGGTGATGTCCGGAGGGCCAGACCTACCGAAGTGAGACATGGTTCTTGCACTGAGAGAGAGAGAGAGAGAGAGAGAGAGAGAGAGAGAGAGAGATTGGGAAATTGGGAATTTGGAATTAGGGTTAGGGTTTGTGGATGGTAGAATTTGGAGGGTAGAAAGATCGAACCTTCGTGAAGTAACCTTGAGATTCTGCACTCGAGTGGAGCCTGGACGCCTATTTGGGGGGCGGGGGGCGTTGGCGATTGGATCATCCAATTTGGGTATTTTGGCCCGTTTGGAAAAGTACTTCAGAAATTTTAAAAATTGCTCCTTTTAAAGGGATAATTTTGCTCCTATTTTAATAGTTTTTATCATCTTACTATTTTAATGTGTAAAAAAAAGAGTTCGACACATACGCTTCCTTTTTTAATATAAAAGAATAAATAACAAATTTCTTTTGAAATTTTGATTAAAGGGCTTTGGCTCCAAATCTTATTATTTTTATTTTTTAAATTACATGTCATTACTTTAAAAGCGTGGGAATTCAATGGATTGGGGAAAATAAATTTTCTAGATTGTGGGTAATTAGTTTCAAGGTGAAGATGCGTTTAAACTAATAACATGTACTTTAAAGAATAATTGGCAATTGATCAAAACCTCTTAATTAAATCTTAAAAAGAAACCAAAATGTTTTGATCTAGAAAGTATTGAAAAAAATGTAAGGGTTCTAATTTCTATTAAAAAAGCTCTATTGCCTTTTTACAAAAAAAAATAACGATATTCATAAAAAATAACTTTAAGAATACATTAAAAACATATGTGTATACGAATTTAACATAATTGTAAAAGCAAAAACACTAATATTTTAATTTCGGTCATATTTTTCTTTTGAGGTAAAACCATCACAAGGGAATCTCGAATTTGTTGTTAATGTTTATATCTCTTAACTTGAGTGTTTATATTTTCCTTCTTCTCATTTTAAAGCCATAACTAGATTATTGAACCCCAAAAAATTCTAAAGGTAGCAATAATCTTTGTTGGCTCCTAATTTTTAATCTTGTCAAAATAAACTCAACCTAAATCTTTTTATTTTATTTTTCATAAAATTCAAATCTGTTTACTTCTATTATCCTCCGATCAAAACTACAAAGTAAAAGGAAAAAAAAAAACCTTCAACACTAAGGAAAGAAGCGAAAGGTACGTCAGTTAATCGCCCCTATAAAACCTCACTTTTACCGCTGTCTATCATTCATCGTCAGACCTCTTGCGTCTTTGCCGTAATCTTCATAAAGTTCCCAAACCGTTCAAAACTTCTCCACACCATCTTCTTCTTCTTTCCAAACCCTAGCCATGTCTATCAGCATCACAGACTACGAGTTGCGCTACGACACGCACAGCATCTACAGAGTAGATTTCTTCGATGACTACATCGAAACCGTAGTCACGCACACTCCATCCAAGGTCAAGTACTGGATCAACAAAACCCGATACCTACACCGTTACCGCCTTCACAAACTCATCGTTGGCCTCGATGTTGAGTGGCGTCCCAGTTTCACTCGCGGTGTGAACAACCCGGTCGCAACCCTACAATTGTGTGTTGGCCACCGCTGCCTCATATTTCAGTTGCTTCATACCCCGGGAATCCCCAGGTGTCTTTTCAACTTTCTGGCGGATCCGGACTTTACCTTCGTCGGCGTTGGGATCAAGGACGATGTTCGAAAGCTTTGCCTTGAGTATGACCTTGCGGTAGCAAAGTATGTCGATCTTAGGGAATTGGAGGCGAGAAGGTATGGCTGGAGTGTGCAGCGGAGAATAGGGCTAAAGGACATGGCAGCAGATGTTCTAGGGCAGGAATTTCAAAAGCCAAAGACTGTTACAATGAGTCACTGGGATAAGCCGTCCCTTTCACTTGAGCAAATCAAGTATGCTTGCATCGATGCTTTTGTTTCTTTTGAAATTGGGAGGGCTTTGGGCGCAGCGAATTAAAGCGGTTGGATTATGTTCAAGGTTTTTTTTCCTGTTTTTTCTTGTTATGGATGAACAATTACCAATAAGCTTAATGCATATGTTATGCGTGTTTAATTTAAATTTGTATGTCCTTTTGAATTATTCTATATGGCAAGTTCGGGAACTTTTGTGTTATTTCCAAATCTTAGGTCTCACCTATGTTTCTGAATTTGGTATTCAAACATGCGCTCTTGCACCCAATATCATTCGATGAATCCAAGTAGATTGAGAATATTGGATGAACAATACACATAATTCGTCCGTTGGGTTTTACTGCAGAGAGAGAAAGGGATCTCTTGAAGAAAAGAGAGAGAGAAAGTTTAATTGGGTTTTACTGCTGAGAGAGAAAGGGATCTCTAAAGAGAAGAGAGAGAGAAAGTTCAAAGAAAAATGGAGGAAAAGAAAGGCATAAATGCTTTACAGCCTAGGGCCACTAAACAAATGATGGTTGATTGGGACTAGCATCGGAGAAAGGCTGTGGAACATGAGAGGTATGTCGGTTTAATTGAATAAAATAGGGCTTTTCTTTCGAGTTTGGTCCATTTTGTGACCCACTATTTTGTTAAAAAAAAACAAACTAGATCCACTATTCTTTGTACAAAATTAGAAAAAGAAAAGTTAAAAAATTATACACATATATTCATATTTTATGATATATATTATAAATTTATGTAAATCCGTCTAGATCGCCTAGGTGCCCCTTAAACCCCACCTAAGCACTAAGTTCTAGCCCGCTGCATGATTAGAGTCTAACGTTTTTTAAAACCTTGGTATTTAGAAGTTGCTTTTCTATATATACTGCTACCATTCATTCAGGCTTTCAGTATTCTGCATTTTCTACATTGGCCACCTGTAATTGATTGAATATGAATCGATCAGAGAAGGACTTACGTCTTTCTTCCTGAAATTGAATGGTCTTTGTATGCTTGGCCTCAAGTATTCGAGGAGTTGGTTGATAGATGTTTATTGTTGCACTATCGTGAACCTTGGAACTTGTTTTTTTTTTTTTTTTTTTTTATAAATAATGTGGTGTTTTTCATCAAAATGTGAAGCTGTGATTCTATTTTAGCCGGGGTTGATTTTCATAAAGTATTTCAAGTGAGTCGTTATTAGCGGTACAAAAATTCATCGAGCATTCCTCTCACTTTATATTTTTACTTGCAAGGAATGCAATTTTGACTCTTCTATCGTGCCAATTACAGTTTCTTAGTAAAAATCATCCTATTATCATCAACACTCAACATATATAACATACCAAAACAATAATGGGTTTACTAATGTTTTCTGCTAATGGGTGTTGCCCCTACAACAATATTGGTATAGGAAAAAGGGAAATAATAAGGCTTCTTTTAAGCTCTGCTCTTTCTATCTACATAAAATATTACTTTATTTACAGTTTAATGGGTCTTTCTTTACTCCTTTGTACCAATTCTTCATTTCACATATAAACCCATTTCATCACCTCAGCTAACTTTAGTTTTGCTAGCGCGATAGGAGTCTTTGACCTTTCAGCAGTGAATAATGAATAAATTGTAAGTTTTACTAATAATTTTAAGAAATTGAGCCATCTACAGTTGGCAAGAAGGGAAATTTCGAGTTAATTTGGCGGGGTTTTTGGTTTTTGTTTTGTGAACGGGTAATTTTTTTTCACTTGTACCAAACCGCAAGTGCTCCTACCTTAATGAAACTAATGAATATTTTTTTTAACAAACGATATTATCTATACTAGAGGAGATGAGTAAGCTAAATTTCACAATGGACTATCAATAATGTGGTTCAAATTCACCTTTGACGATAATCGAACCTAAGACCTCTCATTTACAAATGAAGAAGAATACTACTACACCGTAATACTAAGTGACTACTAATGAGGTTTATTAAAACACAAAGGATGATGACAAAGGGTAAATTGATAAAGAAAATAGTGTAGAAGGTAAAATTAAATTTTGTATAGAGTATATAGGGCATTATGGAACAATCAAGCCAATAACCAAAGGAAATTTTTATAGCCATCCTAGAAAAGTCATTTTAATCTTCGTTTTTAAGAAAACACGAGGCAAAATATACAGAGAGAAGTGCATGATAGTTAGTATTTTACAAGTGACATTAACAACTCTTTCTTTTTATTAGAGAAAGACTATGTAAAATATAAAAAATATTATATTAATTTCGGCAATTGCTTCTCTTTGAATATGTGTAGATTATTCTACCGTTAATAGAAGTTAGGATTTTATTTTCTCTTGTAGCCTAAACTAGAAATTAAACCTGCGCGATGCCGCGGGTTTTAAAACTGTGTTGAACGTGTAAACTATAGTAAAATCTATTCTCATTCATAATCAAAATACAAAACCAAACGTAATTGTCTTGAGCGATCCGTCTTCCCATTATATCAACAACCAATTACAAAATAAAGCATATATCTCATTATTCAAACAAATCAAAATTATTGGTCTTACCCTCTCAGCCAGAACCCAAATCTCATAAGCATGACATAATGCTGGCAAAGCCCATGCCATGTCCCAATTCTGAAACTCCTGAATAAAAGTAAAAGCACTGCATATAGAGCCACTGAAGCCGCACGTTGCCGCAGTGGGCTTGCCCTCTGTAACGAATCTACCCACTTCTCTCAGCTGGTAGCAGTTAAAGCTGTCAGATATAGGAGAGACTACTTACTTCAAGTTCAAGGCAGGCTACCTCAGTACACGATTTCTCACCAGCCAAACATATATATAAAACCTATTTTGTCGTCAACCAAACATAACCTAAAACAACCCAAATTATTCAAGTGTTAAAAGATTTGAACAGTTGCTAGTACTGATCCTTGAACTTATCCTTAAACCAAAGTAAGATTTTTTTTTTTTTTTTTAACGAAAGATAGAAATATATTAAGGACGAATAGAAAGGTTTACATCCTTAGCAAGGAAATTAAACAGAAATTCAGGGCCAATACAATCCCAAGAGAAAGAACGTCCCTCCTTGAATACATACTTAGCCACCGAGTGAGCAGCACGGTTGCCCTCTCTAGGCACAAAAGCAAAAGAGACAGACCTCAGCTTTTGCGCTAGAATCTCAATGTCATCAAGAATGCATTCGATACTAAAATCAACCAAGATTTCTTTCTTCAACATCATAATAATCGTACTTGCGTCAGATTCAATGATAATGTCATCAAACCCATGGTCTATGCAAGACAATAAGGCAAACCTGATGGCAGAAGCTTCAGCAGCAGCTGCACTGTGGCTGAATCCAGTCCCAGACCCGCCAGCAGCCTGGAGCAAACCAGCGAAATCCCGC